TTTTTGGATACGATGACTAAACAGAGGCCGATATTTATTAGTTCTAAAAGTGTTAGATTGATACGAAATAGATGAAGACTACGGTGGTCCGTTGTGAGAAATCGAACCGGAAACCATGAGCGTCTGAGGTGATGTCGCTACTTTCTGCTCCATACACACCCCATAGAACAACGCCTGAATATGATGTCCTTCCATGGCGTTATGAAACTTGTTTGGATGATACTTTTCATGGTCAGACCCTATCTATACCACCACAGCCATACGAGAGGGTAGGCGGACTCGCGGGGAATTATTGCGGGTGGTGGTTGGCAAGGTGCCACCGGGTCACGCCCTGACCTGATGAGCAGCGGCTTTGTTGTTCTGTGGCCGGTCACCTCGACCTATTGCGTCACCCTCCTTACCAATTCCCAGCCTTTTTTATTTTGATTTATTTCCCCATCTAAGCGCCATAGCTGCCAGACGAGTGGTGGGTTCGAGACAGATTACCCAATTTTGATAGGAATGGATGGGATTCAATAAAATGCAAATAAGTCGTGAAGAATCACAATAGGAACGTGTTCGATCTAATCATCTACTCTAAAGTAATTATCTTCTGAATTGTATGAAGGGTCTCATCCAGTAAGGGGGGGGGCATGTGGTGTGACAGTTCTTGCCGGCTACAGAAATTCCAATTTTTGCAAGGGGAGGGAATCCCCGGGGTGCGTGAACCATTTCGCTTAACTTTTACACCCACCCCGGAGCTTCCCTCCCTAAAAAAGTGGATTACTTCATGCAATATGAACTGTCGCAGCACATGCCCCCCCCCCTTACTATATAGCCTGATGACGGGTAATAAATTACCGTAACAGATGCGGGCGGCTCTACAGAAAGCCGATCAATAATTGATTTGTCGGGGCCTCACGCTTGAGTAGGTGGCATTAGGATCTTTTCAGTACTTGATGTCGAAATAATTCCATGTGCTCGACTTCCTTTTCCACTTTTGCAGAATCTATTTCCTACCGTAGCTCGAAATTTTTGTTAGAAAATTGGACTGTGGCCAATTTTCAAAATTGGATCATGGCCAATGTTCGTGGAAATCTGAAAGAAAATTTGATTGAAGTGTTCCTGTTGACATTCTCTAGAAGCTGTGTGTGCGTGCAGTGTGAATTGGAGATGGATTTCCCAGATGAGATTGGTCGGTTGTGGGTACGTTCAATCGGGTCGTAAATTTGAAGGCACGTCGTAGCATGCATTCGTAGGATTCCATGTGCCTCAAGTATCCCCGTATTTTTATTTTGCCTGTTTTTGTATTTTGGTCATTCCGGGGGTTATTCTCCAGGCTAAATTCCCTCGAAAACCTCCCATCATACGTGAATTAGTGGTATGACCCCGTATGGGTGGCAAAGTGTAGGATTCACACGTTCTCTATTCGCCCAACCGTTTAAGGATTACTCCTGGTGTTTCGACGTCCTATTTGAGGATGGACAAATGGAATCGCCCATCCTCAAATAGGACGTCGAAACCCGGAGTATGCCTTAATGGTTGGCCCGATTCATCTGGCCCTGGTACGGAGGAAATTTGTGACGAGTGGGAGAAACTTTTCCTTTCTTGCTTAGGGATCGTGTTTAGAGAGCCAAACCTAATTTATTTTGTTCGTTTCTAAGCTCGTTATAAGGATTGACTTTCGAATGAGCGGTTTCATGTTTGACAGCATTGACTTCTCTTGGAATTTTCCTGTCTTGCTGCATTCGAGAATTTTCATCGTCAGTTGTAACAGAGATCCATATTGCTTTTTTTTTTTCAGATTAAAGGTGTTTCGTCGTAACTGACATGCTACTATCGAAATGTTGAAAAAGTAACCCATATATTGGTAGAAACGTGAGGTGAGTTCTATTATGAGTAATGAATTGTAGATATTTTATGGCGCAATTGATAGAATAGTTGAATTGAGGCATTGGAAACGTATTTGAGCTGTTCTAGCCGAGTTCGAGCGAATTCACAGCGAGCGCTAGATTAGGTGATAAGGGACGTAATAACTTCGTATAGCCGCGCACGTTTCGTTTTTGCCGGGACCACGCAGGATCCCCCAGACTTGTGAGTATAGTTAGTTAGAAGATAACTTGTGGCTTTTTAATTTAATTAGAAAAAAGGTACCTGTAAAGAAAAACAAAAGTTCACGGCTCAGTATATTTTGTTATCAAGCGGCTCACAAGGTCGACTAGCGCACTTATGAGCGCCAGTTGTCAAAGGGTTCAGTGAATTTTCTAAAGTCTTACAACGGAGAGAATGGTACGAAAAGTTCAAGGGTAAAGGGAGTGCGACTGGTAAATCTAGAAACCTAATCATCTGAGCCTGAATGCTGCAAAGTTCTTGTTCAAATTTTGTGGTTTGCTGTGCTATAAAAGCTTTATTTCAGTTAGGGCTATAAAACTATGTTAAAACTTGCTCGTGGTAGCTCCAACTTCTCCGTTTCAAGCATTGATTACGATTGCCCGCCAAGGCCAAAGAGGGAGGCACAGAAAAGAAAGGTGAGCAGTTTCACAATATATCTTTACAATGGCTTCACGAAGTTTCAAGGGGTCTAATCCAGTAGGTTACAAGGCTTCTGTTAAAGGCAAGATTCAGGATTAAATTGATGAGGTAATTCCACTCAAATGTGAAAGTAGGGTAGGAGGTGGACCGCCAGTGGAGAAAAAAGGAAAAAAAATCGTGAAATACACAGGAAATACGAGCCTTTTGCTCTACGCTGCGGAGAAGTTCAAAAGGCCGGCAGGGAGATGAGAGATAATGTGAGCGCGGAGAGCGGTAGAGAAGTCCGAGTAGAGAGAGCATAGCAGATCAAAGCGACGCAGACAAGATATCGAGCGGTGGGCGGAGCGTGTCGCAACAGGTGGAGCGTGTCAAAGTTCTTAGCGCCTAGCGTCTAAGTAACGCTTTTCGAAGTAGGGAAGTGACGCGACCTCTACACTTGCGTACCTAGCGCTTCTAGCCACCGTAAAGGCTCATTAAGTGGGTCTGAGCCCGAACTTTGCCTTTAACAATGGGTGAGAGCGTAG